ATTTGTCATTTATCTTGCATTGTTGTGCCTGGCTTGTTCCGAAAATTTCTAGGTTTGGGCATAAATATTTGAGTCAGTGGGCCTGCATCCCGGCTTAGGCTAGGAAATATATTATTTCCCAGTCTGTGGGCCCGGCCAAACCCAGGCGGCTCTAAGTGATCATCCCTATCACTACCTTAACTAGATCCCAAGTCCAAATAATGTCTGTGAATCTGAATCTAGCTAGGCAAAGCTTATATCAGTTAGATACTCTACAACCCTGGGTTAATGAAAGGTCAATGTTTTGGTTCCCAAGTCCATCGGATATATATGATATAAACATGGAGTTAGATCATTATCTCTACTAATCTTTACAATTTATAACTTCTAACTATGAAATGCAAATTACAATATAGAAAGAAAACTATTTATCAACAGGTAACACAGTTAAGCCACTAAGCTATTTGTAATGCCATGAAAACTATTTATCAACAGGTAACACAGTTAAGCTAATAAGCTATTTGTGTTGCCATGTAAAATTGTTAAGTCGGACAAGTAAATACTAAACGGGATCTAAGATGAGTGAATCCAAAACTCCATTGGATTGATAGTAAAGCCCAGAAGAGAAATGGTCTGAAGCATCTGCATCAGCTCTCTATTTAATGTTCTGATGTATAATGACAGTTATTATCTTTTGTAATTTTGTTTGCTGCACTGTGTCAACTTCAGAACTTAAAGCATTTGGATCTTTCATCTAACTTAATCGAGAATGATTTACCTCCATGTTGGGGCAACATGTCATCTCTTAGGATTCTGGACTTATCCAAAAACCAATTGTAGGGAAACATACCCTTCATATTCAGAAACCAATCTACGATTCAGTACATTGATCTTTCATATAATCAGTTCCAAAGTCTAGTTCCATTGTCCATCTTTGCCAATTTCTCAGAGCTCAATCATCTTGACCTCTCATACAATTACCAATTACATGTCGATACTAAGTCTCCAAATTGGACCCCATTTTTCCAACTTCAACATCTACATTTGGCAGCCTGTGATCTCAATAATCACAGTGGTCACCAGTTTCCCAGCTTCCTCCCAACCCAACATGTACTCCACTCCTTAGATTTATCTCATAACTCGCTTCCAGGGATCATTCCCCCTTGGATGATGTATAATGGTACTTCAATGTTGAGCTTAAGGAACAACATATTGAGTGGTTCATTACTTCCAGCCTACCAGAATACATCTCGGCTCATTGAACTTGATATTTCCTGCAATCATTTTACAGAGCCTCTTCCTTCCAACATTAGCAAATTCTTCCTAATTTATACGGGCTTAACATGTCAACAAATGGTCTTCATCGTAGCATTCCATCATCCTTGGGTAAGATTTCCAATTTAGAGCATTTAGACCTGTCTAACAATCAACTGACAGGAAGCATACCAGATGGATTGACCACAAATTCTTCACTGTGGTACTTGAATTTATCCAACAACAGCTTGCAAGGTGACATGCTTCCAGGAGCTTGTAATATGCCACAGCTCAGATGGTTACTACTTTAGGACAATGGCTTCACTGGGAGTATACTATCATGCCTGTTGGATAGCCCGTTCTTGATAACCTTAAATGTTAAAAATAATCACCTATCAGGCACAATTTCAGGTGAATTACCAGTCCATCTAGACATGGGAGCACTTCTTTTGGGTGGAAACCAGTTTGAAGGTTCTATTCCAGAGATCTTGTGTCGAATAGAAGAATGCAATTCTTGGATCTCTCTGGAAATGGGTTTTCCGGGAGCATTCCATCTTGCCTCAACAACATCCCCTTCTGGAAGAACAAGTTTCAAAATTATATCTCTTGGGTCCCAATTGATTTCACAATAAAAGGCAATTCATACTCTTTCCAGGGAATTCCCCTCACCTTAATGACTGGTATTGATTTGTCTTCAAATAAATTGACTGGCAGTATTCCAAATAATCTGGGATATCTGTCTCAGCTTCGCTCCTTGAATTTGTCAAATAATTTTCTCCTAGGCCAAATCCCGAAATCCTTTCAAAATTTATCAAGCTTGGAAAGCTTAGATCTCTCCCATAACAACTTGACTGGAGAAATTCCTGTTGAATTAACACGAATGGAATCGATTTCTATTTTTCGTGTTGCCTTCAATAATCTGTCCGGCAAGATCCCATTTGACCCGGCAAGGGTAAGCAGTAGTTACACCGGCAATCCATTTCTTTGCGGAGAGCCATTGAAAAGAAAGTGCCCAGAACAAGAACCAGAAAGAGATGACCATGACCATGACAACAACGATATTGGGAGTAAAGAAGATAAAGAAGGAAAAGGACGTAGAATCAATACAGACAGTCCTCTCTTCTTCTATTCGTGCATGGCTTTGTCCTATGTATTGGGATTTTGGGGTGTTGTTGGGCCTCTCCTCTTCAATAAGAATTATCGCAGAAAATACTACAGAACCGTAGATGTATGCATTGAATTCTGTTTGGACAAGCTAGTACCATTCCAATGCTTGAAGTGCTGGCACCACTAATAATGCAAATCTCTGTCTGTATTGTAAGACCATTCAAAGGGCAATCTCTGTCTGTAGGAATAATAATGCAACTATCTGTCTCTATTGTAAGACCTAGTACATATAGATATCAAGCATTCATACATTCTAACTCTTGTTATTTCCTGTTGTTTTGCAACATTTTTTTTATGCCTTCATTGTATATTTCGTCCATGAGTAGGCTTAATTAAGTAGATCAATGAGTCATCTTGGAAAACGGATGAAGGCTTTTAACCATCTCTAAAGTCTGAAGACTCTAAACATGTCCTCAGATGGTCTCCAACCTGTAACAATTTGCTGCGGAAAAGCTTTCAAAATAAATGAGTACCTGAATTTAGCTAAGGTGTGAATGACATCTAATCATAAGTGTGGGCAAAAAGGTAACAGCCTAGGCTGTTTTATCCAAACAGCCAAAGTGATCTCATCTGCTGCAGCCATGGTGGCAGTAATCCCTTGTGGTCCCCCGATGAAATATGGAGAGGCAAGCATGCAAATAAATTCATAACATCAAATCGAACATTTTTTTATTTACATTGTGTGCTCATGTTTCATGAGGACTGTTGGAAATCTGGACCGTAAGGTAAAATCTATGAAATAAAAAATTATTTTTTACAACAATTATATACATAATTTTCATATCATAATATTCATCGAATGGAATCAAGGTGCATTTAAGGGTCCATTTGGTTCACTGTCAGAATCGGAATCAGAATAGTCTATTCCCATAGTCTGTTTGGTTTAAACAAGAATGAGAATGAGAATTGGAACCAGCAAGAATACGATTTCATTCCCAAGGGAGGGGCAGGGAATGACCATTTCAGCAGAAATGGAAATGGGATTCCAATTCCGCCTAATCAAACAGTTGGAATTGGAATAACCCATTCCGATTCCAATTCCAGACCCCTATTCCCACGAACCAAACAGAGCCAAAATTCAATTCTATAAATTAAGGGGTGTTCTACAACAGTCAATTGTTTTTCTTATTGCCAATTCCAAAAATTAATCAAAACTATCTAGTTTAAAAGTAGATTGTTTCTCAAAACAAAAACACAAAAAACATGTTATTGGTTGAGTGTATTTTTTTTTCAAAGCAGAAACCAAAAATGGGTTCTTGTATTTTTGGTTTCAAAAACATGTTTTCATCTTGTTATTTAATATCATATTCCATGAACCATTTAGGGGTGTTCAAGAACATGATTGGTTTTGTTTTTGAAAACAAAAGCAACTGCCACATGGTCAAAAATCATATAATTTTGCTGATGTGGTAGTTTTTGTTTTCAAAAAAAAAAAAAACATGCTGTCAAACACCCCCTTAATTTCTATATTAAAAAAATTTGTTTTTGTTTTAAAAACCATTGTTTTGATGACTCCAAAAACATGTATTGTCTCTTGAAACAAAACCAGTATGTTTTTCTTCAAAAACAAAAACAGAATTCAAGAATGACTTGGGTTTTTTTTTTGTGCCGATGTGGTGATTCCAAAACAATGCCTCCTTAATTGATAGAAATTTGTTATCCAAATTCAATCACTATTACATTTAAATTACCCAAGTTCGATTTCATTGCATAAATGATCAAATACAAAATCAAAAAATCAAATGCAGTTTACAACACTTCTCAGCAATTAGAAGGTTCGGCAGTCTCCATCATCCAATCCAAATTCAAAGTCTAACTCAAGATTGCAACGATCCTTTAATCTCTAAAACCCTGCTGAGCCTATACACCAAAGCAACCTAGTTCAAAGTATCAACATGTTTTATAGTAAAAGCATTTAAAACATAAGATACGGCTCCGTTTGGAAGGAGTACAGATACAAATATGTACAGTATTAATACATACAAAATAAGAGGCTTTGCACTCTACATATTTCTATTTGTACTCCTTCCAAACTGAGCATAAGGGTTTTTGAACTACATTCAGTTTAAGATTGTTATCATTGAGAGAATTTCTAAAATTTAAAGCCATAGAAACAGCCTAGGGTGTTATAACATGTAACCTCGCTCACTTCTTTGTCTTTTTAATTAAAAGTATATTTAACCCACTCAGCAGTCAGCACATAACCTTCTTTTGAAGGGGATTCGTATTTGTCTCAGTTAATACGAATTTAATTACTCAGAGAGGGCAGAAGCCTCAGCAGGGTTAGATTACATAGCCCAACTACTGCAAATTGCTTGATGATCCTTCCAGAATAGAAACCAAAGGCCATCTATGCAATCTCCACTAGCTAGAAAATGGGCATATGAATTTGTAGTTCTATCAATATTGATCCAAACCACTTGATCAAAACGCTTCTATCTCCTCCCATATTTACACTACCCTGCATTTACATCAGTGCAAAATTCAACCGAACTCGGCCATAAGAATGTACTTTGCATTGCGATTGAGGATCTCGAACCCAAACCCCTGAACCACCTCAATTGTAGGAGCAAGGTTCTAAAACACTAACAAAACAAACGTCAAAACAAAAGCACTAGGAATTAAACTAGATAAATCATGAGACAGCCTCCCCCAATCTGGGTAGAAGTTCATTTTCATTGGGCATGACCGCATGAGAACCAAAACAAAGCTAAAAAAACAAAATTGATTGTGCTAACGAAAATTAACTTTTCACCTAATTCCCCACAAATAAGGAACTCTATATTGAGAGACTTTCTTTTCAAAACACAATCCACAAAAAAATGACATGTCACAATTCTACTTCTTGTCTTCCTTCTCTGCCTCGGCAGCTTTCTTCATCCTTGCACCAACCTGGCGCTGGTTCATCCGCTCAACACGAAGCTTGGCATAGGCATTAAATGATTTCATCTCATCTGTAACCTTCACCAAATCAATAGACGGTTTCTCACGTTCAATGGGCATGTAAGGACCTTGGACCTGAGTAGCAGTTGCTAATTCCTCAGCACCAGAATCGCCAGCCTGCAACAAAGGTCGATTTAGCAAATAAATGGTTGGTGGAAGGAAAGGTTGGTTGAAGGCTAACAATCCCTACTACAGGCTACAGCACAGTTTCTTGAAATGTAGTTCTACAAGTTACTTTTACCTTAAACTCGCAGGCACGCCTTGGGAACACAATCAATTTAGCCTTGTAAGTCTTCAGCCTCTGAACATTAGCTTGGAGACTCTCCAGGGAACGGTTCTTGCGGCGGTGATCAACTGCAATGCCAATTGTTGGGGCAAGTTTCTTTGGAATACCAGCTGCCTAGAAAAGCCACAAGAATATACAAAAAGGATTCAGGAAACAGAAAGAGAATCGAGGAGAAAAAATAACAATCCTGAAGAGGCAACAGTCAACACGACATACACAAACATCTTAACTGCAGCAGCAAAGGATTCTAATATTTCTCAGTTGCCCTAGTATGTCCAAGACTTATAAATGATGGAACTATTAGCACTTAGTGCTAATGCAACCAATAATAATATTCAATACTCACCTTCAGCTCCTCAAGAGAAAATCCCCTGCCAGCTCTAACCTTCATATTGTACTTCAGGGTTTGTCCATGAACAATTGGACGAAGTGGTCCAGCTGTAGGGCGAGGGAAAATCTTCACAGCCTTCTTCTGCCTATCTGAAAAGTTTGTCATAGGCCATCCATGTGAACAACCAACCATAGCATGGTAACTAAAGCATCAACAGGTACAGAAAAAACATCATAGTAGCTAAGAGATATAAACATAAGAGAGAAACATTAGTTGGATACAACATCTTACCAATTCGTCTTCTTGTCTTGCGGGCAGGTTGGTTGAACCATGTTTTAACATAGTTCTGCCAATGCTTTCTGAAGTGAGAATTAGGCACAACATTATTATGCTTAGCCATGATTTACCTGAAAAATAGCAGAAAGAGTGAAACTCTATTACCAGTATCAAATCCCCGTATTGCTTTTCCATAAATAACTTACTGAATCAAGCACTGGGCAAGAGATCCTCACAGTATACAAGACAAAGGGAGTTGTATCTTTTTTTCTATCTTGGCCAAGGTAAGGGAGTTGGACGGAACCAAATACGCGCATATAGAAGACAAATTGCAACATTCCTAGGCTACCATCGTTACTAGCATTAGTACAGCTAATGCTAACTTCATATCAAGGCCCACAATGTTGAATGTAACTTATAGTTTTTGGTGGCAAAAGTCACTCAACCTCCATTTGATTGTATTGGGCAACTAGATTTCATCTCCATATATCCAAAGAGAGATGAGTAAATAGCAGGGAAAATTTTAGGTTGGGGAACTATTCATCAAGAAATGCGAAAGGAAAAACCCATCAACAGTGCAAATTTTTCCCGACATGTGAAAGTTCTAAACGATTTCATGCAGCTATAAACAAAATAAAAGATTCTATACCTTCAATTCACATTTAAGATAATTTCGTCTAAAAAGCCCAACTACAATGAACAAATTCACTTCCCATCTGTAATCCTCAGAGCAAACGAAAACTATAGCAATTGCATAATCATTTTAAATCCAAATAGAACATATAGCTCATGAACCAAGTACTTTCACAGATTGTACAATCCTCCAGGCAGGCCATTAATCGGAAGACAGCACGAAAATTCATGGAGAAACATACTAATGTAAAAAATCACATACAATGAATGAAATCCAAGAAGTACAATCAAGTGTTGATTTTCAAGATTTCAAGTATGGATACAGGAATATAAGATTTCCCTACAACTAAAATACATCTGAGAAGAGAAGAGAAGAGAAGAGAAAAGAAGAGAAACAAAGAGAGATCAGCTAGGAGAAATAGACGGCTGATGATTTAAGCCGGAAATAAGAGAAATCTCACCTGTAAGGCTGTGAGTGTTTCCGGAACGCCGCCTGTGTTTGGAGAGATCACTTGCCCCTCTCTACCTCGCTCCTTCTCTCGTCCACTTGCAAAAACTCTTGGTTGTAAAGAAATATAAACTTAACCCTTAAACCCTAATTTTGACGGCTGCGATTTCACTCCAGCTAAATAGATGCACGATCCAGGGTAGACGGACTTGGGATGACTTACGTCTAGTAAAGCCCAAGTTGGTAGTAAAGCCCAAGACGCCAAGACAATATGGAATAAAACTGCAAAATGAAAAAAAAAAAAAGCACTAAATTCCATGGAGTAGAATATATATGTAATTTGCTTGTGTCCTACTTGTATGGTGGTATATGTATAACTTCTTGTTTTGGTAAAATATACAGGTACATCTTCATGTATACAGGTACGTATAGTGGTGTCAATGGACCAGTATTGGGTTGGATCCGTCCGAATCAAAATCAATTTAGATGGATTGGATGGACAAGTAAGACCATGGTTTTCGAACCGTCGTTGATTCATACGGTTGGACCGTTCGGCCCGGGAATCATCTAGGAAATCGGTTCCGTTTTACTCCAAACCTGGTCCCTAGCCAAAACCGTTAAATCAGTCAATGATCTGTTGATTCAGGCGGTCGAACCATCGACCCATTTAATGGTTTTTAGTCGTTTTTATTTTTTTAATTTTTGTTGTTAAAACGGGTCGTCCATCGGTTGAACTGTCGACCCGAAAACCGGTAATCATAACAATTTCGTTTTCAGATCGTTTTTAAAACCATGAATAAGACATATTGAATTGAACTAGTCCAAACCATATGATCCAAAGTATTTATTGGAATGGATTGAACCTGGTCCATCCATAATGGATTTATATTGGATTGGGTTGGACTGAACCAATATCTGGATAATTAATAGAAGATAAAGAATACATGTATCAATAGATTAGGGTTGGGTTGGAACCAATTGAACAAATTGGATGGTACAGACATTGAATTGAACTGGTCCAAAATTTGGTCCAATTGACACCCCTACCTAGTGCCTACGTATATAACATAGTGTATAGATGATTTCCAATGGGTTGAAAATCTTTGAGTTTTCCTCCATATTGCTGGGACTTGGAATACCTTTCCATTCCATGGAGTTGCATCAAAGCAAAGTCCAATGGACCGGTTTTGGATAGGACCCTATCCAAATCAAAATCAATTTGAACGGACTGGATGGACCAGCAAGACATATTGAATTGGACTAGTCTGACTTAATGCTCCAAAGTATTTATTGGATCAGATTGGACCTGGTCTCCATCCATAATGAATTTATATTGGATTGGGTTGGATTGAGCGAATATATGGTCTTCTGATAGAAGGTAAGAATATAGGCTTCAATGGACCAAGTTTGGATCAGAATTACTTTAAAAACAAAATTTAATAGATTGGACAGTTTGGACATTGAACTGGACTAGCCCAAAATGGTCCAAAATATTCATTGGATTGGAATGGATCTGGTCCATTTGTAATGGACTCACATTGGACTGGATCAAATTGGACCAAACCCAATCCACTTGACACCCCTATGTGTTGGATCTGTGCCTGCCTGGCTTGGCATAAGCCTCATTGTTGTCTAGTTGGGTCCGGTTCTTTCATTAAACGGATAAAATATTTGATTTTATATTAACTTGATAAAATTAGTAAAATTGATTGGTGAGAATAAATACTAACGCCCAACATTCAAAGTATATATACATATGTATGTATGTATGCATGCATATATGTATGTATGTATGTATGTATGTATAAAACTTATCACATCACACATCAAAGCCTTAACCTCAAATAGTTGAGATTAGCGACTTTATAATAGTACTAGCAGGGCTCATGCAATGCACAGAATTGGACTTAAAACTTGTTGTTCCGTGGAGCTACACAACTCGGGGGACAATTTTCTCCATCCCCGCCAAGTACCCAGCCTCCCTAATCAGTCTAGGATGGGATGGAGATTGCCTTAGCAGGGATAGGGTGGGGATGGAATTAAAAGGAATACCTGATTGGGGACAGGGAGTGAAGCCCACACTCCGCCCCAACTCCGATTATATATATTAAATATATGTGTATATATTATATTAAATATATAATATTATTTATAATATTTTGTATATTATATATATCAAAATATATTTAAAATATTATTTACATTCTAATTTTTTATTTTAAATAAATATCTTTCTAAAAGCAAACTTTTAATTAAAAAATTCAAGTATTCAGGCCCCCGATGGGGAAGCCCTCTTTGTTGAGGACTAGGGATGCAAGCTAAAATTTTTGTCAGGGATTAATTTAAAACTCGAGGTCGGGATGGGCTTGCCCCAAACCTGCCCATTGCCATTCGTACCTTCGGGGTCATCCCCTAAACCTATAACACCCCCAAACCCATAGATATAGTTCCATTAATTATGGCAATTATACTTATGGAAATTATTAAAACTTTCCAATTATTTATTTGAAAAATTGAAAGTTTTATGATTTAAGTTTCACTAAACTAACAAAGTCACTAATTATTGTTAAAAAATTATAGTAAATATCAAAATTACTAGAAATATAAAAAAATAAATTTATATTTATTGAAATTAATTTTCCACTAAAAAATTACTGAAATTTTATAATATCATTAAATATTAATAAATTGACCAAAATTACTGAAAATGTCAATAACTACTTATTGCTAAAACTGATAATTTTTAATTATTAAATTTGTATCTATTAATATTTTAATTAATTATTAACTTTTTAGTAATTATTGATTTTAATAATTAATTTTCAAAAAAATCTGAAATTAAATTACCAAAATCAGTAATTTTTAGCAAGTAATTCTTAGTAATTAGAATTTTCAATTTATCAAAATTATGAAAATTATAGTTTAGGTGGTGATATTTACTAAATAATATTCAATAATATCAATAATTATTGAAAATATAAAAAATATTTCACAAATTAATTTACCCACGTTTTTTGTTTTTAGATGGTTTATAATATAGATTAAGAGGTGTTTTAGGGGGAATTTTAGATGGGAGAGATTATTTAGGAGAAATTTTCGGAGGAGGTTGAGCCTATTGGTAACATGAGAGAGAGAGAGTTGGAGTGGAACTCTAAGTGAAGAAGAAAGGGCTGCCACGTGGCAATATAGATTAAGAGGTGTTTTATGAATAATTTTACATGGGAGGGATAGTTTAGGAGATATTTTAGGGGGGGTTGGTTAAGTGATTGAAAACATGAGAGAGTGATTTGGAGTGGCACTCTAGTGTAGAAGAGAGGGCTATCATGTGGCTACATGGAAGGCCTAGGAGCCTAAGAAGGGGTAAGGGAGAAAAGAGAGAGGTTTAATGAGAGAAGAGAGAAAGGGGAATAGGAGAAGGAGATGGCCCCTGACATTTTTTAAAGCCTACTGTTTGGTGTAGTACTTTCATTTTTTACAAGGAGAGAAGAGACATGGGACCTAATCGCCTTATAATATAGTATAGATATAGATAGATATAATCACACGATTAAGTTTCTCTTGTTCTCCTTTGAGAAAACCTTAGTTTGGTGTAGTACTTTCATTTTTTAAAGCCTACTGTTTTACTAATTGGAATGATTTTTACATGTACTTAGAACTAGCTACTTGAAACTCGTAGGTACAATTTGGAAATGATATCTTAGCTAGTCAAAAGCATAACTAGTTCATGGTTCTGAAAATGTATGGTATGGTTTTAGAACCATACCAATATTTTTTAGAAAATGACTTTTTTTGCAGCAACAATACCAAAAAGATTGTTATATTCATGTTTAATTTTTTGAAGCATGATATGTGAGACTCATGTGTAGGATTGTCAATGGATTGGATTTTGGTCTAATCCAATCCGATGAATACTTTGAACCGGTCCAATTCAAAGTCAGGACTGTCCAATCTATTCAAATTGGTTCCAACCAAACCTGGTCCATTGCCACATGTATTCTTATCTTCTATAATGGACCAGATATTGGTTCAATCTGACCCCATCTAATATAAATCCATTAACCGGGTCCAATCAGTCCAATAAATATTTTGGACCATTAAGTCTGGACTGATCCAATTCAATATCTTATTGGTTCATCCAATCTGTTCAAATTGATTTTGATTCGGACGAGGTTCATCCTAAAACTGGTCCATTGACATCCGTAGCTACTTTTGTGCAAATGAGTCTTTCAGTATCTACACTTTTCTGGTATACATATTAGTATATTGCCAAGAGATTAAAGGGTGGGGGCAAAGTAAAGTGCATGGAAGGTCAAGTGACATTACCACCTCAAGAAGAACAGGTATTCTTTTCTAAACTCTAGCTTTCTAGGGAAGTAGGTCTTTTCATTTGCTCTGCTTTTATACGTTGAGGTCAAAATGACTGAACTCCAGCTCAAGAAGATTGGGTATTCTTTTCTAAACTCAGGTTTCTAGAGTAGTAGGGTCCCAAACCTAATCTAAATTCTATGTACCTTTGCTCTATTTTTATTTGGAGTTGGTTTACCTCTCGACTACTTCTCTTCAATATGAGAGCTAGAATATTCTTAGATATGCATATGTATAATATGTTTCACATATCAAAAAGGGTGGTTGAAGGCCAACTTGCTGTTGTGATAACCAAGATGGCTTGGTACTCATTAAAGACAAATACAAGGAATAAGCAGAAACCGGATTCAGTCAGTGCAAATTCCATTCGAACAATCATTATGGCCTTGCATTAAGAATATTTTCCCATAAAATAAAGAATAAAAGAACAGAGATGTTCCTGATGCAAGGCTGTAAAAACTGTTCAAACACCAGTATTTGAACGGGCCTTACGCTGACTGAAACCGGTCTCGGATAAGCAATTGAAAAGCCTTTAAGTACATCAGTATGTGTCTCCCCTAGAATTGCAGCCCAACATATGTCACCATATCAACAGCTTAAAGACTTAACCCTGTAACAGCCTAGAGAATATTCTAGAATGCCTAACGTGCTAATAATAATCAGTCCTCCCTTTGCCTATAAATATGAGGGTTCCTGACATGATAGAGAGATATATCCATATAAAGCCAGACATACCACAACTCTTTTTCTCACTA